TCTTTATCTCAGAAAAAATTGAGATATAAAAATTTTAAAATATATATTTAATTTTTTTTTTACAACAACTATGTATGCATCTCATCTCCTTTTTTTTTTCCTGCAGTTTATGTGATGACTTTGTCTTGTCAGCTTGAGATGACATAACAAAATACAATAGGCTAGGTGGTTTAAAGAACAGAAATATTTTTTCTCACAGTCCTGGCAGCTAAAAGTCCCAAATCAAGGTGCCAGCTGCTTGGGTTCGTAGTAAGGGCTCCCTTTCTGGCTTATAGACAGCTTCCTTACTGTATCCTCACATGATAGAGAAAGTTATTAAAAAGAGAGGGAAGGAAAGAAAATGAATCTTACATCTCTTCTTACAAGGGCACTAATCCTATGGGATCAGAACCCCACTCTTATGACATTATTTGACCTTAATGACCTTCCTAAAGACTCTATCTCCAAATACAAGCACATTCGGCATTGGGGCTTCGACTTACAAATTTTGTCACGGGGACACAAACTTCAATCCATAACATTCGTCCTAGACATTTTTCTCATTATTCTTTTTCATTTCATGTTGTATGTACCTCGGGACTATTTCCTCGGTTCTGACTGGTAATTTAGTCATGTTTATTCTGGTCAGTAGTGGGTTCGTCTCTGTAATTCTTTACCTGACAACGGGCAGTTCACTGTGTCTCTCCTCTTGTTATTTCATCACATCCTTTGGTTTCATCATGTGCTTTTGGTTTCTTATATCAACATGAATCTCCTTAGATCACAGGGAACTCTTTTATTAACTCTTTATTTCTGAGGAGTGTAATACCCACAAGTAGTATTTTTAAATCATTCTTATAAGATTGCAGTCTATTCGTTAACACCTGGCAAGAATAATTCAAATTATAATCTTCCTTTATTAATTAAGGAATGATGTTCAAGAGGTGGCCAATTGAGTCAATGTTAAATAGTCTTAATAAGAATTTTGATTATATTTCAAGTATCCATATATATCAAATAACTACCACAGTGATAGTCATACAGTATGTTTTTGATCTTTTATTTTTTAAGTTCCAAATGAAATGAAGCTGGAGTTCAAATATTATTACTGCATGAGGCAATGTGAGACATTCATAAACATTATCCATCAATATCCGTGATAGAAAAGGAGGCAGCATTTGGGTTAGGAATTATGTAGATTGGTTGACTGCTGCAGAATGGCTAAGCTGCAGTTATGATAACTTTTCCTCTGTATTTTTGGTGTATGTCCTCTGTGTGTCTACAACTGAACATTTCCATGCATTTTTGAGGAACTTGGATTTATACGATTTATGACCACATACTGTGCCATCTACTTTCTCTAACAGTTGGTTCCCTAAATGAATTGGCAACTAGGCATATCACAGTAGTGTTGTGTTTTATTTTCTGTGGTGTTAGAAATAGTTTGCTTTTGAACAGAAAATGAAAATCTTTGTACTCAAAGTGGCTTTTGACGAATCTTAAGTGCCATTACTCCTAAAAAGGACAAGACATGTTTTGAATAATTTACTAGTGCTAAAATGTCACATTTTTGAGACATCTATTTTATGGTTTTTCTGAATATCTGAGCAAAACACCTCTCTGGAATTTAATAACTTGTGTCTCTGCATTCTTAAGTAAACAATAAATTGTCTTCCATTTTGAATAAAAGTTGCCATGACAACTTGGCAGGCGTGGGCTATAGAAGTCAAATACCAAGCTCTAGTATTTCAAAGATGTGATATTGTTTTTGGCAGCTCCGATTTAAGTAAAACTGAAGGTGTATTTTCACATGGCTATATCGGTGGTGGATATTTGTAATTAGACTAAATCATATATGTTTTTGCAGATAATTCATTATTTAAGTAAAATGATATTCTTATTCTTTATGACAACTTCAAGACTCTTTCTTAGCTAATCACAGAAATCCAGAGATTAAGGAAAATGCCAGGATTATTTTATAAATGCTGATTTCAAAAATGATACTGAATTCAATTCTGAAATTTTGACATTTTAAAGAAAATAGAATCTGTTTAGTAATTATAGGGAAATTTTGCAGGATCATAGAATCTGTTATGTAATTCACCTAAAGAGTACATCTTTAACTTCAGTGTTGCTGAAATCTTTGTAATAACACTGTCAATAGGGATAAAAATTGACATTTTGATGTAAGCACATTGAATATTTTCTTCAAAACCACCATTTTATACCATTCACTGAAAAATTAAATGAATTATTATTTCACATAATTTAATTTTTAATTTAAAAAATTCAGTGAATGGTATTAAAGGGTGGCTTTGAAGGAAATATTCAATGAATTGAACTCTAGGTGGCCTTGTTCAAAGATGCTTCAGTTTGGTTGCCCACCTTCCCTTCCTCCCCTCCTCCCTCCCTCCCTCCCTCCCTTCCTTCCTCCCTTCCTTCCTTCCATGGAGTCTCACTCTGTTACCCAGGCTCACTGCAACCTCTGCCTTCCGGGTTCAAGTGATTTTTCTGTCTCAGCCACCCGAGTAGCTGTGATTACAGGCATCCGCCACTACACCTGGCTAATTTTTTGTATTTTCAATAGAGACGGGTTTCACCGTTTTTGCCAGGCTGGTCTCAAACTTCTGACCTCAGGTAATCCACCCACCTCGGCCTCCCAAAGTGCTGGGATACAGGTGTAAGCCACCATGTCTGACCTGCAATTCCTTCTTTAAGCTATGTCTTTGCTTTATCTTCAGGCAGAGTTTTCTCATGGTAGCAAAGTGGAGGCAGTGGTTCGAGGTCTCACACCCATACATCTCAGCAATCAGAACAAGGGAAATGATCTCTTCTCTACCTAAATTCCTGAATGTCTGAGTAAGGAATTTGTTGCTTCTTAGGTTATCTGCTCATGCATGCCACCAACCGCTGTGGCCAGTGTAATGACATGAGCAAAATGGCTTGTGCCCAATGTCAAGGAAGGTTCCTACCTCCAAATCTTCCAGTGGTGAAGCCAAGACAGCACAGAGGAGTTGCATACGTAGGAGACACATGCAGTGTGTGTCAGACAACCCAAACTATCAGTGTCATTATGAGGTCCTGAAACAGAGGGAGGGTGGGAAACCCATTGAGGTTTCAAAGATCTTGGGGACTTCATGTTTTTCCTTCTTCTTTCTTTATATCTACTTTGTTCTTCTTCCACCAATAAAGACCTTTCTTGTTTTCACTAAGATGTACACACAATTTGTGTGCCATACCCAGAGTTTAATTGCAGATATAGCTAGGGTTTTGTTTTTGTTTTTGAGATGGAATCTCACTCTGTCTCCCAGGCTGGAGTGCAGTGGCAAGATCTTGGCTCACTGCAACCTCCACCCCCAGCATTCAAGCGATTCTCCTACCTCAGCCTCCCGAGAAGCTGGAATTGCAGGCACGTGCCATTACACCCAGCTAATTTTTGTATTTAGTAGAGACTGTGTTTCACCATGTTGGCCAGGCTGGTCTCAAACCCCTGACCTTAGTGATCCACCCACCTTGGCCTCCCAAAGTGCTGCGATTACAAACTTACTGTTGCCATTTAACCACTATTTTCAACATTTACATTTTGGGTCATAGTCTTTATTTTAGTTATGAGGCAAATTCTATTTAGAATTCTGCATGGAATATTCTTTTCCTTTTTGTAATCAGTTTCTCTATATAAATATATATGTATGTATATATATATATACATATATATATATATAGAGAGAGAGAGAGAGAGAGAAGAGATGATTTGTGAAAAAAATACATGGGATTTATGTTTTGACTGGATTTCAAGAAAAATTTTTTTTAATTTAATTATCACTTAGATAATAAATGATTTAGACAAAATTCATATCCCAAACCTTATTATTTAAATCATAGACCTATTTATTCAACATTTTTTTTTACATTTACCTGAATGTTTTAAAATATTTTCAGTCTCATAACTCCTCAAATTGATAAGCACAATTAAATTTCATGGTTAAAAAACATTGCAATCAGAATTAACCAAGAATCATAATTTTTCTGGGTATTTCTCATCAAAATTGCCTCTTAAAACATTTAAATCTCTTCAGGGAGTGGGAAACATGACTAATAAAGGCTTTGTGACAGGTACTATGGTAACACCAATAATGAGAATTCAAATAAAAGTAGAATTTAATAACCCAAATTAAAGAAAAAATATATATTCTCTCCATTTCCGGGACCATTAGCTAAAAGCAGACCCTGATATAACCTTATTTTTAAAGAAGAGAAGTCTCAATGCGTCATTACAAATAGTGATTATACCTTAGGGTTTTAGGAGTAAGTTCGAAAGAGACATTTTTTTTCAAAAAGGACATTTTGGTTCTGGTGAGAAATTAGATCTTTGTACACAGCATATATTTCCTTCTAAGTCTTGTATATTCAACGATTTCTTCCAAAGAAGACTTCTGATTTTACACACACACACACACACATAAAATACACAGACATAAAATACAAAACTTAGAAGGAAATATATATTGAAATTGTTAAATATTCAAAATATTTAATCACTATTCTCAACATTTACGTTTTGGATTGTAGCCTTTCTTTTAGTCATAAGGCAAAATCTGTTCAGAATACTGCTGAGAATATTCTTTTCCCTTTTGTGATCAATCACATATGTATATCTAGATTGATGATTTGGGAAAAAATACATGGGATTCATGATTTGACTGGATTTCAAGAATCATTTTATTTAATTAGCACTTAGATAATAAATGAATTAGACAAAATTCACATTCCAAACATTATTATTCAAATCCTAGACCTATTTCTTTAACATTTTTTCTTTTTTTCTTATAGTTTGTGTATGTGTGTGTCTGTGTATATGCACATTTATTTATTTAATCCGAATTCACTTCTCTTAGAGGTTAGTTAAATCACTTGGCTCTGTTAAAGACTATTAGCATTGTTAAATTCAATAGGATATTTTAAAAAAGAATTGTAGGGAAAGCATCTCTGTTCTTGATATACATTATTGTCTGTTATTGCAGGAGGATACAGACCACAATTACTATATATCTCGGATATATGGTCCATCTGATTCTGCCAGCCGGGATCTGTGGGTGAATATAGACCAAATGGAAAAAGATAAAGTGAAGATTCATGGAATATTGTCCAATACTCATCGGCAAGCGGCGGTAAGTGTTTTGACATTCAGGATTCTTTTTTTCCTACTGTGAAGAAATGGTTGCTTTAATTGGCATATAGCCATTTCTTATATAAGTTTGACAATTAAACATTAGAATAGTCTTATCTGTGGTCATCACTTTTCCAATGTATTCAGTTCTGCAATTGTAATTTAGATTTAATTGCATACAAGGTATTAAAGAAAATGAAATAGAATTGTTTTGATAAACTACCATTAATTGAACCATTTTCTTAGTATATCTGATGAATGTATATTGGATTCAAAGCTGAGCTTTATCTTGGATTATTTTTAGTTTTCTTATAATCCATGAGTATATGGAACATTTTTTAAAATTACTTGAATTTGGTATCTTCCCATTTACATGGGTTTATTGCTCTTGGCCTTGGATTTAACCAAAGATTTAACGGAAGTCATTTATGATTTAGATAACATATATAGACCAAATTATGGTCTTAAATAAAGAAGTTTAATATAAAGAAAAAGAATAAAATTTAGAAAGGATCAGACTGATATTTTAAGCCTGGGCTGATTATTTCCTGTGTTTCCTGAAATAAATAATTTAACTATTCTGAGGTGCTTTCTGCATGTGTAAACTGGAGATGAGAAGGAATATTAATACCAGCCTCCCTTGCCTTACATGGTCATGAATAGCCTATTCAAGTGCCAGCCTGAATGCTCAAATGGATTAGCTTTTTCAATCTTCACAACAGTCCCATGATTTAAATATTACAAAATTACACGTTGCAGATAAAAGAACTCAGGAGTCTTGGAAAATTCAGATAACCTACCCAAGGGTCTCCACCAGAAAATGGTAAACTGGGAAGTTAAGCTAGGTAGCCAAGCTGATGCTTAAATTGTGTGTGTAAAATTTATCACACTTGGTTCTCAGAATGTTCTTTGATCATCATTTTATGATAAATGCCAGATTTAACATTTTAAAGGGTATTTGGTTTTGCTGGCCTGGGTAACGGTGGTGATGCTGTCATCGATGAAGCCATGAGTTGTTCAGTTTAGTATGACCTGAAGTGAAAAGAATACAATTTTAACCTTTCAGGTGCTTTTGTCATTATTGATATAAAGATAGGACAAATACAGTAAATGGCTGGAGTTATTTAGAGAGACATTGATTTGATAAATGTTAAATATAAAAATTTGTGGCAGTGGCATTCCTTGCTTATATGTAGATGTTTCTGTTATCAGATCAAATTCTAAAAGCTAAATGGAAATTAAGTGTAGCATACCATGATGATTCATTTAATTTTCAGTGTAGAGCACATGCTTCCTGAGTCTGAGAAGCACACGAAGTAGCTACCTTTCCTTGCTAAATTCCATCATCCACCCCTTCCCACTTTTTTCTATATTCAGACAACCCCAGGTAGGCAAGATGACAGATTTAGAAATAATTCACTGTGGAGTTTCAAACAGATTTTCAAAAAAAGGGAAAATAATAAAGATTGGATTCGAACAATATCTATCTGGGATCTACTGCATTTGACAACCTTCCTATTATAGCACAGTGCTTAATAGTATAAAATATACTTTGTGGAATTTTGAATGTTTGTGTATGCACATGGGAATTCCATGATGTGGCTTAGTCCTAGTGTCAGTCACTATGGGTAATATATACAGGGAGAGGAAGAAGTTCCTCCAAATATTAGCTGATTTCTTCTCCTATACAAATATGGCTACCACCTCTTTCCTCTTTGCCCTCCCCAAGGTAAGACACTTTGTCTCATGCCTCTCCTTAAAGAAGTCTGTTCTCTTTGCAATGGGGTTTACTTGGTTGCCTTGTGATGATTCTCTGGTTGTCATGAAAAACGAAAAATAATAATGTAAATGGTCCAATTTTCTTATTATTAGTGTGGCAGTGACATTGTTGCTTTTAACACTTGAGGTAGCCTCAAACATAAATGGAAGGACTTGAACTTCTGGTTGTAACTTAGCTGGCGCCCTTTATGTTAATTGTTAAATATATACAATTGTTAGAGTCTTTTATTTTAACTACTCTGCCATTGTCATAACTTCGGTTCTTGGTTATCCATGAGTATGTAAGCCATTAACAAACATTTCTTAAGAGAAATTGGTGGAAAAAGTTATCAGCGAAATTCAACACTCTTCATGTTAAAAGCGCTCAAGAAACTAGGCATGGGAGAAACATACCTCAAAGTAGTAAGAGCCATCTATGACAGATCCACAGCTAACATTATACTGAATGGGCAAAAGCTGAAGCATTTCCTTGAAAACTGGCACAACACAAGGATGTCCTCTCTCATCATTCCTATTCAACATAGCATTGGAAGTCCTAGCCAGAACAATCAAGCATGACAAAGAAATAGAGCATCCAAATAGGAAGAGAGGAAGTCAAACTATTCCTGTTTCCAGATGACATGATTCTGTATTTAGAGACTCCATAGTCTAGGCCCAAAAGCTCCTTTCGCTGATAAGCAACTTCAGCAAGTTTCAGGATACAAAATCAATGTTCACAAATCCCAAGCATTCCTATACACCAACAACAGCCATGCCAAGAGTCAAATCAGAAAGGCAATCTCATTTACGATCGCTACAAAAACAGTAAAATACCTGGGAATACAGCTAACCAGGGAAGTGAAAAATCTCTACAATGAGAATTACAAAACACTGCTCAAAGAAATCAGAGAAGACACAAACAAATGGAAAAAAACATGCTCATGAATAGGAAGAATCAATATCATTAAAAAGGCCATACTGCCCAAAGCAATTTACAGATTCAGTGCTCTTCCTATCATACTACCAATGACATTCTCCACAGAACTAGAAAAATTTATTTAAAATTTTTATGGAACCAAAAAAGAGCCCAAATAGCCAAGGCAATTCTAAGCAGAAAGAACAAAGCTGGAAGTTCCGTGTTGCCCAACTTCAAATTATACTGCAGGGCTGCAGTAACCAAAACAGCATGTTACTGGTACAAAAACAGGCACATAGAAAAATGGAACAGAATAGAGAACCCAGAAATAAGGCCACACACTTATGACCATCTAACCTTCAACAAACCTGACAAAAACAAGCAATGGAGAAAGACTTCCTATTCAATAAATGGTGCTGGGATAACTGGCTAGCCATATACAGCAGATTGAAGCTAGATCCTTCCTTACACCATATACAAAAAATCAACTCAAGATGGATTAAAGGCTTAGATGTAAAATTCAAAACTATAAAAACTCTGGAAGACAACCTAGGCAATACCATCCTGAACATAGTAACAAGCAAAGATTTTAAGATTTTATGACAAAGACACCAAATGCAATCGCAACAAAAGCAAAAATTAACAAATCAAATCTAATTAAACTAAAGAGCTTCTGCACAGCAAAAGAAACTACCAACAGAGTAAAGGGACAACCTAAAGAATGAGAGAAAATATTTGCAAGCTATGCATCTGACAAATGTCTAATACCTAGGATCTATAGGGAACTTAAAAAATTTACAAGAAAAAAAACCCGTTAAAAAGTGGACAAATACATGAATAGACACTTTTCAAAAGAAGACATACATTCAGCCAACAAGCATATGAAAAAATGCTCAATATCACTCATCATTAGAGAAATGCAAAACAAAACCACAGTGAGATACCATTTCACACCAATTAGAATAGTTGTTATTTAAAAGTAAAAAAATAACAGATGCTGGTGAAGTTGCAGATTAAAGGGAACAATTATACACTGTTGGTGGAGGTGTAAATTAGTTCAACCATTGTGAAAAGAAGAATGGCAATTCCTTAAAGACCTAAAGACAGAAATGCCATCCAACCCAGCAATCCTACTATGGGGTATATACCCAGAGGAATACAAATCATTCTACCATAAAGACACACACGTGAATGTTTGTTGCAGCACTATTCATAAAAGCAAAGACATGGAATCAACCTAAATGCCCATCAATGACAGATTGCATAAAGAAATGTGGTACGTATACACCAGGGAATACTATGCAGCCATAAAAAAGAATAAGATCATGTCTTTTGTGGGAACATGAATGGAACTGTAGGTCATTATCCTTAGGAAACTAACCCAGAAACAGGAACCAAGTGCTGCATGTTCTCACTTTTAAGTGGAGCTAAATGATGAGAAGTTATGAACACAAAGTAGGGAAAAACAGATATTGGAGTCTACTTTAGGGGGAAGATGGAAGGAGGGAGAGGAGCAGAAAAGGTAACTATTGGGTAATAGGCTTAATACTTGGGTGATGAAAAAAATCCATACAACAGATTCCCATAACATGAGTTCACCTGTGTAAAACTTTCACACATATTGCTGACCCCAGAACAAAGGTTTAAAAGATTATATATGTGCTATTATGGTTATACTGTAGCTCAAGACCCAATATACACTTAGGGTTGGATTTGTTGTTAATGACAATGGAGGTTAAACACTGTTTTAAATAGGGTTTTCCCTTAATTTTGAGTATTTTTTGCCTATGTCTTGTCGGATTTGATTCCATCATTATGGCTTTTACTTTATGATGTGTTTCATGCAAGGCTGATTCAGTACAGAGCTTTGCTATCCGTGGTCTTGTGCTCTCCTTTGCTTTCATTTATCAGTATAAAAAACAAATCTCTTATTTCGTAGGTCTAGGATGGGCCAGAAAATTTGCGTTTCTGACAAATTCCAAGGTCATTTTGATGACACTAATCCAGGGACCATTCTTGGACTCTGTAGCAGGGGTTGGCAACCCATTTCTCTAAAGGGCCAGATGATATTTTAGTTGTTGCAGGCCTTATGGTCTCTGTCACAACTACCCAACTCTATTGTTATAGCTCAGTAGCCACAGACAGTATGTAAATGAACAGTCATGGTTGCGTTCCAATAAAACTTTATTTATGGAAATAAAGAAAATATTGGTCCTGCATCTACTTTGTTATCACTCTCAACAGAAAACGCACACACACAACACACTTACACACAAAAACGCACACACATTTCCCTTTATAACAATAAGATTGGTAGTATTAACTAG